CACTGCCTCCGTACAGCAGCAAAACAAACTCGCGTCCACTCACTGCACTCGGCGTCGCGAAACAACCACCACCACTCGGACCACCTGCACTGACGCGCTTTGTTACGCGGTAGCAGTCAGGCAGACGTCATTGGGCCGCTCGCTTGGGATAATCTTTGCGCCACTCTGGACTGGACGCCAAACCACACAGAATTAGAACGTGGACCTCTCGCCCTTCTCACTGGTCTCGTCGCTCGCTAGCACCCTGGAACACCGCCTGCAGCCCTCGCATCCGCCAGCGCCTGCTCTGCACGCTAATCTAGAAGATCCGCCCCTGCTGGCCCTCCGCTGTGTCTCCGCCGCGCCCAAACGACCGCATCCTGGCCAACGTCCTGAGCGCCCGCCCGGCAATATCTGCCACCCATCCCGCCACGAGGTGCCTTCCTGACGGTCGAATCAATGTCGAGCCCATGTCACCCCAGCCGGACGCCCAAGCAAATACCTCACCCCCCGCATCGGTGAGGTCGAATGCCAGCCATGGACTGCCCACGCCCGACGCCGAGCACGACCAAGTGACGCCCAAGAGCCTCGCGCAGACGGGCCGCTCACGCACCGCGCCCATTGTCAACGAGAGCAACCTCTGGAAGTCGTCAATTGACCGCCCCCAGCTCGACGAGCGCGACAGCATCTTCGCAACCACGTACCTCGTCTCCGACAGCCCCATCTCCTCCCCGCGGGCCAGCGCACGCAATGTAGATTCTGCCAACGATGCTCCCGAACACAGTCTGGCTGAGATGGCAGCGCCAGCACCTCCCCAGAGGCGATTGATGGATCCGCCCATCATACGCAGGAAGCATTCCACCCTTCCTCCGCCTTCTTCCATCGACCACCAAGCCGTCCTGACTACCCCCTTTAACCCCCGCGCAGCCATTGCAGCCGGCATGACTTTCGACGCCATCCATCACAGTCCTCCGCCCTACATGAGCCCAGTCGACTCGCCCGTACAACACCCCACCACCCCACCACGTCCCGAGCTCCAATACGAGGCTCTGCTGGAGAGCGAAGAGAGGCGCAGGAACAGGGAGTGGCGCGAAGGGAAGCCTGTACCATTCAAGGGCAACATGATCTTGGATCAGCCCGTCATGGACGTGGAAATGGAGAAGAAGATTGAAGCAACGCTTGCCAAGACCGAACAACCCACTTCCGCACGCAGTCGAAAAGCAAGTCACTATCTGCGCGTATTCAAGGATGGCGATCCTACCGAAGAGCCGAAGAAGAAGGACAACAAGACAAAGGAGCGTCCTTCCGCTGAGAGGACCCTGTCCGCACTTTCAGAAGAAGGCTCAACCGAGACTATCGGCCTCATTGACCAGCTGCGCCGCGCATCACTAGCTTCCTCCGTCGTGCAATCACCTCTAGGCGGTCCGACTGATTCATACTTCGATGCGAAAGCGGCGCCCCGCACCGAGTCAGGCGTTGCCTCTCCACCTCCCAACGGAAGCACGCGACCAGACGCAAGTTCTCAGGACAAGCACAAATTCCCAAGGCGTCTTCTCGAGGACATTCGCGGCTTCGGCAACCTGACTCCTGGTGCGGACCCACGGTCTTCGTTCTCTCGCAGTCTACCCACATCAGCTGTCGAAAAGGTTCACGCGCACGCACCAACTAATGGAGCGACACCTTATGACGAGCCGTCCGATTACTTTCAGGTTAAAGACGGAGGCGATAAAGAACGTACGCCAGGCTCGGAGGAGGATGAAGAATCGGAAAAAGAACAGATCTCTTCGGCTCTCTACTTTCCCCATCGCCGGCTTAAGACAAGTGAGCAGGTCCCTACAGAACCACAGAACCGAGATAGAGAGGTGAATGCTGTCGATAAGAGGGCTTCAACTCATGAGGTTGCGGGGCCGAAAGGATGGGCCACAGAGAAGGATGTTCAAACTCCACAAGAAGTAGAAATTTCTCTAAAGGCCCAAGATACCAATCAATGCCTTCATGGTGATATCTCTACGGCAACTTCCTTGAAGAAAGATAAAGATCAGCCGCTGACCGCTCCCGATGCGCTTTCAGCTGAGTCTGAGTCTGAGTCGCACGCCGAGTCTACTCAATCATATCTTGGTTATGAATCCAGTGCGACTGATGACCTAGGAACGACGCCCACTGCGACTTCGCACAAACAGGAAGCTAAGGCTGCTGCGCCTCAGGTGGCTCAGCCGCCGGCCCCACTGGGTGCTGTGGAGCTGAAGCCATACGATCACCAAGTTGGCGGGCATTCTACTGTTTACCGTTTTTCCAGGCGAGCAGTATGCAAACAGCTAAACAATCGAGAGAATGAGTTTTACGAAACAGTGGAGCGACAGCATCCTGAGCTGTTGGAATTCTTGCCAAGGTAAGAACTCTCCCCCCGCTATTGATCGAGGCTGAGACATCAGCGAAGATCATTGCCTTCGCCTCGGTTCTTGATTAGGACATTTGCTAACATTGACATCTAGATACATCGGCGTGTTGAACGTGACCTACCGAAAAGCCCCCAAGAAGAAGAAGGTTGCCAAGGACAAAGCGAAATCTGATGCTGCTCCCACTGCTTCAGCGACGCAGTCGGAAAGCGCGTCAAGACAGGCTTCAAAGGCTCCCGAAGACCGGGGCAATGGGGAACAACCTCGAGTGGTCAGCCACTCGCAGCAGATTATGCCCATCCCCCAGGTCATCTTTGAGAACAATCGGCACATAATCCCAGACAATCTGTTCCGCGTGCCACCACGCTCCACCACCCCAGATCCATGGATGCGCAATGCTTCCTTGTTGCAACAACAACATCGACGAAACCAAAGTGACTATGGTCACATTTCTACGAGCCCGAGTCGGCCCCCATTGCAGCATGCTAGCAGTTGGGGTGTGACGACGATCAACAGAAAGCTACAGGAGGAGGTACTCCGGCAGGTTTTTGCGCCGCCAACTATTCATCATCGGCCACGCCACCATCATCACGGGATCTCAGCTCGTAAGACAGGAGGAGACGTTCCGCAGAACGTGGCTGGCTCTGCGCCTACGATAAGGAGGAACAGCACAGATGTAGCTGGATTGCATCCACCACTCACAGAAGAGTCTACACGGAAACAAGTTCTCAAAGCTGAAGCGCACCGCTTCGCCTCGGAAAGGAGCGCTGATGCTGCCGTTTCCAGCTCCCTTGGCCAGCCAGACACCACCGCCGATGCCCTGAAGCCGCCATCGAACAATCTTCCCCGCCGTCGTCATTCTGGCAGTGGACTTACTAGAAGACCCTTGGGGATAGATACTGTCCAGAGACATAACCTGGAATACTACGAAGAGGATGGCTACGGTGGTGACGCAGAGGAGGAAGTATTTGCTATGGACGAGGATCGCAATGCCATGTCAGACGCAAAAGATCAGCACCGAGGCCGATCTGTGCAAACATCTGGAGCAACAAACGGGGTTCATCCCCAGATACCATCAGAAGGTACAATGCTACCAGCCCCTGCTGCACCAAATGGCAACGGCGCCCCGCTTGGCGATGAGCCTTCCAATCCCGAAGAAGCGCAACAACAACCCGACGAGCGCGTCCAGCACTTCATCCTTCTTGAAGACCTTACTGCAGGCATGTCCAGGCCTTGTGTCTTGGACCTGAAAATGGGCACGCGGCAGTATGGAGTGGAAGCCGATGAGAAGAAACAAAAGTCTCAAAGACGCAAGTGTAAGATGACAACGAGTGCCCAGCTCGGCGTACGTGTTTGCGGCATGCAGATTTGGAACGCCAAAACCCAAAGCTACATCTTTGAAGACAAGTACTTTGGCCGCGACCTGAAGGCTGGCAGAGAGTTCCAGGATGCGCTGAAGCGCTTTTTCTGGGATGGGACAAGTTACAAAGCAGCGACAAGACATATTCCTGTCATACTGGAGAAGATCAGTCAGCTGGAGCGCATGATACGGAATCTTCCAGGCTACCGATTCTACGCAAGCAGCTTACTGATGCTCTACGATCGTGGGGATGGAGAGTCGAAGGAGAAAGACGCGCAACCCTCTCTGCCCAATGGTCTCTCGAACCCGAGTAGCGAAGACGTCTCAGTAATACCATCCGGACCCACATCACCAGGCCCGACAACCGCCTCTAAGCCGACACCTAAGCATCTACCAGAGATTAAGCTCAAAATTGTCGATTTCGCCAACTGTGTTACCGCAGAAGACCCGCTGCCTGACGACTTACCTTGCCCACCCCAGAACCCGGATGGCATTGATAGAGGCTACCTTCGTGGTCTACGGTCGCTGCGCCTCTACTTCCAGCGCATCTGGCACGACATCAACGAAGAGTGGGTTGAACGAGGCGAAGGCGAAGGTATGGCGCGCAACCATCACCACGGCCCTGGCCTAGGTGAAGTCGGCGCGGGCTGGATGGACGATGCCGGTGGCGAAGACACGGGCTATGCCAGCTTCTAAAGAAGAAGTCGAGCGAAGTCAGCAGAGCAGAAGAGCAGGAGAAGAAGAAGTTGGTCTCCAGACACGTCTTTTCTCTAATTCCTTTTTGACTGGCGTTTTGATTTTTCTTCGGCTTCAGGGACGCAAGCATGGCGTTTGGGCGCAATCACGGAAAGACAAAGGTAATGAAATTGGTAACTACTCTGGCATGCATCGGCGCATAGCATTTATGGGCGGCAAATCCTTTGCATTGCTTTCCTTTTTTTCATCCTGGGGTTTACTGGGATGGGGGGTAGGGTTTGTGTCTTGGAGTCCGGTTGGAATTTCTTGTACATTATCATGGAAAGAGTAGGGTAGCGCTAGCCTCATTAATGCAGCATTTTGAACATTGAATATTTCTCCGTGATGTTGGCGGAAGTAGTGACCTTCCTGTTACGTATCTCAGGCTATCATGCACTACGGCACTATACAAAGCTTATCACCGCAACCCCACTTGTGCAGCCAGATGCCACGTGCCATCCAACTCCCAGAACAACATTCACCTTGTATAGCATTTTCCTTATCCTCAACAACAACCTCTAATCAGAATAATGGCCCCCTTGAACATAAACCCTCCCCTCCTCAACTCCGCAAACCCATGGTGCACAACCCTTGAACAGCTCCAGGAACTCTACGACAGTCCACACACAGGCGCCATCACAACGCGCACATCGCTCCTAAAAGGCTTCCCACACGACCCCACCCATCACCAATTTACGTTCTTCGACCCATCTTCACACAACTCCAGCACGCCCAACCAAGACCTCGGCGGCGACACCAGCACAACAGGCAGTCTGAACACACTCGGCTACTCCCCCCTCCCCCTCTCCACCTACCTCAGCTTCGTAACCAAAATCAGCGACACCCTAGCCGCCGCGTCGACTCCGGGAAGAGAAACTTTCAAACCCATCATCGTCTCCGTCACCGGCAGCGTAGAAGAAATAGCGCAATGCTACCAACTAATCTACACAGTCCAACACAGTGTGAAAACGCCACTAGCCGTGGAAATCAACCTCTCCTGCCCCAACATCCCCGGAAAAACACCCCCAGCCTACAACGCCGCCGCCCTACGCGAGTACCTCGCCGCGCTCAAGATGGCCATTGATGTTGGACTAACGAAAAGTGGCGGCGAGACACAAATACCCGTTGGCATCAAAATACCGCCGTATACGTACCAAGAGCAATTCGACGCCTTGATAAGCGTATTGGAAGAGAGTGCGGAGAACAAGATGAAACCAGTCTACCTCCCCTGCCCTATTTCTTTCATCACCGCCGTGAACACACTCGGTTCGTCTCTGGTCTTGTCTCCACAGGACGTGCGTGGTGAAAGCAAGATCAGCCCTGCGCTCAATTCAGCGAATGGGTCTGGGATTGGGGGGCTGGCGGGCGCGCCGTTGCATCCCCTTGCGCTGGGTAATGTGCGCATATTGAGGGAGATGCTGGATAAGAGGGAGGCGTTGAAGCGGATTATGGTTGTTGGGACGGGAGGTGTGGAGGATAAGAGTGGGTTTGAGAGGATGAGGCATGTGGGTGCGGGGGCGGTGGGCGTGGGGACTGCGTTGGGACGGAAGGGGGTGAAGGTTTTTGGGGAGATTATGGAGGGATGATGTCGTGAATGTCATGTATAGTGTATAGCATTTTTCTTCTCATCAAAGAGTCACGCGAGGTGTTGCATAGTATCATCAGTATATCCACAGGATTGTGGATGTTAGTCTTGGACACGGAGTCAACTTGCACTTCAAAAGTCGTATATAGTGAGCAAAGCCTCATCACTTCACGTATCAGAAAACTTATGATTCTTAACATTCATTCATTCAGATTCTCCATGATTACTTGAACTATACACAGTACTCACTCGAACCCATCTCCACCACCTACTTAACCGAACAGCACATCACCAAGACGAATGGAAACAGTCTTGGTCTGGATGTAGTTGTCCAGCGCCGCCTCACCCAACTCGCGGCCAATACCAGACTCCTTGTAACCACCTGCAGAGAAGTCAGTATGTGTCTCGCATGCATTTGGTACAGCCAGAACTTACCGAATGGAAGCTGCCAGTGAAGAGTGTTGTAAGAGTTGACCCAGACAGTTCCGGCGCGGAGCGCGTTAGCAACCTCGATGGCAGTGGTGAGGTTGGAAGTGTGGACTGCGGCGGCAAGACCGTAGGTGGTGTTGTTGCCGATCTTGATGACGTCGGCCTTTGTCTTGAACTTCGAGATTGTGCAGACGGGGCCGAAGATTTCTTCTTGTTGGATCTTCATGTCCTCGGTTACGTTGGAGAAGATGGTGGGCTCGATGAAGTAGCCCTTGTCGCCGTGGCGGTTGCCGCCGGTCTCGACGGTTGCGCCGGACTTCTTGCCCTCCTCGATGTAGCTGGAATTTATGTTAGCATTGGCTTCAGTTTCGGAAGGACGTGACATTGCTTACCCCATGATGCGGTCGAATTGGAGCTTCGAGACCTGAGGTCCCTGGAAGGTGTCCTTGGCGAATGGGTCACCGACAGCGTTCTGTGCGGCCCTCTCCTTGAAGCGGGCAATGAACTTGTCGTAGATTTCTTCCTGGACGTAGATACGCGATCCAGCGCAGCAAGCCTGTCCGTGGTTGAAGTAGATACCGAAGTTGACCCAGTGGATGGCCTCGTCCAGATCGGCATCGGCGAAAACAATGTTGGGGCTCTTGCCTCCGAGCTCAAGAGTGACCTTCTTCAAGTTGGAGCCAGCAGCGGCCTTCATAATTTGACGGCCGACGACGGTTGAACCAGTGAAGGCAACCTTGTCGACATCCATGTGGGCGGAGATGGCGGCACCAGCGACCTTTCCGAAACCAGTGATGACGTTAATGACACCTGGTGGGAAACCGGCCTCTTGGATGAGCTTGCAAGCTACGTATGCGGAGAGAGGAGTCTGCTCCGCTGTCTTGATAACAACGGTGTTACCAGTGGCGATGGCAGGACCAATCTTCCATGACCACATGAGAATGGGGAAGTTCCATGGGATAATTTGTCCGCAAACACCAATCTGAAATGGTTAGTCACGGGACATGGACATGGAAATATGTAGAACTTACGGGCTCCTTGCGGATGTAGTTGAAGCTGTCGGGTGCTGTGTCGACGACCTTGCCCTCAATCTTGTCGGCCCATCCTCCGTAGTACCTCAAGCAACCAGCGGCGGCAGGTATATCAACGTTCCTGGCCATGCTGAAAGCCTTACCGTTGTCGAGAGCCTCGACTGAGGCGAGAAGATCGGCATTCTTCTCAAAGAGGTCGGCGAGCTTGACAAGCAGCTTTCCTCGGTTCTCTGGTGTCTCCTTCCGCCATGGGCCGTTGAAGGCCTTGCGTGCGGCAGCGACAGCAATGTCAACATCCTTCTCGGTGGCCTCCGCAACATTGCAGATGACCTCCTCGGTAGATGGGTTGATGACCTCAAAGGTCTTGCCGTCAACGGCCTTTACGAACTCATTGTTGATGAAGCTGGTTGATGTCAGTATTGACGATACCGAAGCATTACAAACTCTCCGAAGAATATCGGAAACTGGATATCTGACTTACAGTCCGGTGGGCTGCTCGTACTCGCCCGTTTGGGGGGTTGTTAGCTTTACGGATGTCATTGCGAAAGCGAATTGGGGTATATGGACAAAACAAAGCTGTGAAGTGAAGGAGGGGTAGAGGCACAGGCAAATCCTTAAGTACTTTCAGGAGCTCCGCATGACGACACTAGAGGTTATCTCCACTCGAGACAGGACAACAGTACGATCGCCCAGACAGCCTCGGCCATCAGGAGCCAGTCTCAGGAAAGCGCTGCAGCCTATTGCGTGTCTCGACAATGCATGGCCGGGTGGCGCTTGATGCAACGGCGGAAGCTCTTGCCCCGCTTTCATAGCCAGTGGTAAGCTACCCCTCCCCCGCAGTTCTGCTCTGGAAGTCCTCGAAGCCGCAGCTAACCCTGCTACACGCGGTACTGGATTTTCCAATTTGGAATAGACACCTATTGGCAACTGATGCGCATCCGCAAAAGGCATTTCTCCACTTGCGGCGCGTGGTCATCTCGATACAGCATCTTTCTATAACGCATATCGCAGGACTAAGCTCGGAGCTCTAGACACGTATCCAAGCAAAACATACCCACCATCGGAGCCACTACGCTAAAGCCGAAGGGGCAGCCCTATGGACCATATCGTCGTACCCCCAGCTAGCTCGGCCCTTTTTCGAGCGAGCACCGGTATGGCGAGGATAACACTGATCCACAACCCCGAGCCTAGAGTAATCGCTGTATGCACGTGGGCGACCTGGATTGCAAACATTGAGAGCGCAAGATACTCAGCTCATCCGGTCCGTCAGCTGCGTCGGATGAACGCTCCTTTCACCCAGCCAAATCCTAGTCAGAGGCTAGAGTCCTGGTAGCCGCGGGCCTCCACACCACCTAGTAAATCGCGGGGAAGGTGCGACAAAATTTGAACTAATGATGTTGGCGTGAGAACTTCGCACGAAAGGGTACTGCGGCGCGAATAGGAGCATGCAAGGACCGAATAGCTGTCAACCGGAGAGCACTACACATGAGCAGATAGTGGTGTGATCCGGGCTGCTGGGAAGCGCCAACCCGGTCAACACGAGTAGAGTTCACATTTTGTTGTTGCGGAGTCCTCCGGGAGAAAAGCACGGAGCGATTCCGCTGTACCGAGTCGTACTGTCTAGCAAGCTTTCTAAGCCTCGCTGATCTTCTATATGATCGTCTCTCTGCAGCATGTCATTGCCGCCTTTGGTTCGTGCAAGCCCCAGCATTGCCATGTTGCCACGCTCTAGGAATGTGGCAGCTCTTCATTTCGGTGTGTTTCAGCCAACACGCTGGCCGGGTTCCGTCCACAATATCAAGAGAGCCGGGAGGTCGGGGTATGTGAACATTCGAACAAGGGTACCTCACAATAGATGAGTCGACGAGATAAGTTTTCATGATCATGTTTCCGATTCATAGCCATTCTGATTGAAGCTACCAAATACCCGGCGTGCAATTTAGAAGCCGTGAATAAACGTCCATGAATAGTGTACAAGAGCCGAATTGTGTCCGATGCTGACGTTCCGATGGCAGCAGTAGACGTTCGTGATAACGCAGTTTCCGAAAAGATGACGTCTCCAAGAAAAGAAAGACTGAAGCAGACCGACTAGCAAAGGGTCGAACCGATTCCGTTAGATGTTGGATTAAACCGTGACAAGTGAAGTGAGTGGAAAGCGTCTCAAAGCGAAAGAAGCTCAGAGCATCTCGTCGTCCATAGCAGTGTCACCGCCGGCGGTGATTTGTGCAACCTCAGCGCCGCCGGCAGCAGCATTGGTTTCGCTACCGGGGAAGTAGTCGGCCATCTCGGCATCGAGCTCCTCGACGGTCTTCTTCTTGGGGCGGGCCTCGCGACCACCACGGCCCTTTCCTTTGCCACGGGTCTGGCCACGTCCACGAGCGGCACCGGGAGCAGCCTTCTCAGCGGTGGCCGGCTTCGGCTTGTCCTTCTTCGGCTGACTGAAAACTTGTTAGTTACTGGTTACACTGCAAGGAATCTTTGGTACGTACGTTACACGATCAGCGAGCGAAGATGGGCGAGTGGCGGCGGGAAGGGCGGCGGCGCTGACGAGCATCTCGACGCGAACAGGGCGGCCGTCAATCTTGACGCCATTGAGGTGGGAGGTGGCCTTGGCGGCTTGGTCATGCTTGGTGAAGATGACGGTAGCGCTGCCAACGCTGCGGCCCTGGGCATCGTACTGGAGAAGAACCTTCTTCGGGCGACCTACACCAACAGCATTCACAAAGTAGTCCTATGAGGCGTATTAGTCGTCGTACCAGGGTAGTTTTCACGCGCGTAAAGCAAGATCGACAATGAGGTTCCGGCGTCGGCGGTGGGTCGTCGTCGATTCCATATACTCGGTCAGAAGGTACCGCTCAGAAAGTGGGTGTCCTGGTCAGATTTCAATGACCGTAAGTTCTGAGACGAAGCAAACTCAGCGCGAGAGCAGTTGTTGCGAGTAACGTAGTGAAACGCTGCGAACCAATCTTGTAGTGTCTGCCCACACCCATCTGTAAGCCAAAAGGCTATCCGAACGGATTGGTTTCGCATCTCGCTGCTCTGGATCGGGCTAGAGTTGCTGCAAGGCTACCGGGAATATCACCGGTGCGCTGCCGTCTGTGCTGACACAGTGAAGTGGAGCATATTGACTTGGATCACCCACTTTCGTCGCGGCGGTACCTCGGAATGTTCGCATGCTGCTAGTCTTCTTCCTGTCTTGTGTGCCCAACACAGATCTTGGAGTGACTTTGGGCAAGCTATGGCTCAACATCCATACCGGTGCGGAGGAGGAAGTCTCGGTTCGTCGGATCGAGTTCGTTCATGCTTGCAAAATCGAAGCTGCAGTAGGCTCAAAGACCTGCATCGGTCTTACATACCTGGAGTTGGGAGTTGTCAATGTCCCGTGGCTGCGACATGTTAGTGATGGTTTGGGTGTGGGTGTGAGACTGGACATACCAAGTTGGATACCATGATCTTGGTCTCGCCGCCGCCGAAAGAAGCGGAGGGAGCAGTGGGCGCAGGCTTGGATTGCTTGTTGCCTTGCTTGGTCGACTTGGCGACACCGCCTACAGGGGCGGCAGCAGTGGCCGGTCGTCCAGCGCCAGAGCGGCGAGCGCCACGGCCACGGCGGGAGGTCTTGGAGGCCTTGAGGATGTCGTCGAGGCTCTGCTCCATCTTGTTTGAAGACATGATGAGTTGTTGAGGGATGGTAATACTTGGGTAAGCGGGCGTTGATGGAAAGGCGCGCTCGTGTTGAGTGGGCGACGTTTGAGTAGCGAAGGCTGAAAGTCTCTTTTATGAGGGCGCGACTGAACCGGTGAGGTCTGAGGACAAAGGGGCGCGCTGTTCGATGACAGGGCGCGTCGCAGGAGGTGAGACTCGTGAAAGGAGAGTCAAAGTGGGCTTGCGCGAATGTAGAGTGAGTTGCGCGGGTTGTGGTAGCTGCTGTTGATGAAGAGCAGATGGGTGTGGGAGTATTATGTGGGAGGAGTGTGAGAGTGAGATGAAGAAAAGGGAGAGCGCGAGGCAGCAGTCAAGAACAGAGGGACGCGCCAAGCCCCGACACTGCCACGCACTGCTGCCTGGTGATTGGCGGACTGCGCACGGACGCACTCGCCCGCAGCTTCCATGGGAGTCGCGAAGGGCGAGAGCTCCTGCCATTCAGGCAGTAGGCGATGACGATGGAGCAATAGCAGTATGGCAGTCACTCCGGTGCGTATTGGCTCTCCCACACCCCGCTTCACAACATGTCCAGGCTAATGCGCGAACAGTGGCAGTTCAAGTTCTTCGACGTCTCGCAAGTCAAGCTCCCGGACGACGAGAGCTCCTTCCTGTCCGAGGTATGACGATACCTCCTCCGCGCATGCACAGTCTCATAAATGCCATTAGATCGGGAACATCACGTGCATAGTATCTGGATCAGAGAGCATCTTCCTCGGCAGCGCAGATGGCATCGTCCGCATCGTGTCGCAGGCCTTCAAGGTCGTGCGCGCATTCAAGGCCCATGACGCAGGCGCAATCACCCACATGAAGCAGGTCGAAGGCACCTCGCTTCTCGTCACCATTGCTGAAGACCTTTCTGGGGAGCCTGTACTGAAAGTATGGGCTTTGGACAAGCTGGAAAAGAAGACGGGCATTCCGCGATGTCAGAGCACCCTCACCGTCCACAACGGGCGCAAGCAGTTCCCCATATCCGCTTTCGCAGCGCTCGGCGACCTATCACAACTCGCGGTTGGATTCGCCAACGGTGCCGTTACTGTAGTTCGTGGTGACCTCATACACGACCGCGGCGCGCGACAACGGACGGTATTCGAGTCGGAAGAGCCCATCACAGGCATCGAGTTCAGGGAAGGGAGCATCACGACCTTGTATATCGCAACGACCGGACGTATAATGACACTTGTAATATCTGGAAGGGGGCAAGGACAGCCGGCCAAATCGCTCGACGAGTACGGCTGCGGTGTGGGTTGCATGGCGGTGGACAAGGCGTCGCGGGACGTTGTCGTCGCACGGAACGATGCCATATACTACTACGGTCAGCACGGCCGCGGACCACCGTACACATACGAGGGTGAGAAGAAGATGATCTCCGTATTCAAGGACTATGTCGCGATAGTCGCACCCCCCAAATCAAATGCGATGCCTCGATCGAACCCTCTCCGTGCTTTCGGCGTTGGTGCCGCCGACGACGTCTTCAACACTTCGAGCTTCACCCTGCTCAACACAGAGCTGAGGTTTGTCGCACATCAGGAGCAGCTGACTTCGCAAGTGAAGGCCGTCATTTCCGAATGGGGCGACCTGTTTGTCTTCACGATCGACGGCAAGATCTTCAGATACCATGAGAAGCCCTTCGCTCAAAAACTCGACATACTGTACCAGCGCAATCTATATGTTCTGGCCATCAATTTGGCCCAGAAGGCCGGATTAGACTCGTCACAACAGAACATCATCCTTCGGAAGTTTGGTGATTATTTGTATTCGAAGCAAGACTACGATACAGCTATGCAGCAGTATCTGAAGGCTATCGATAACACAGAACCATCTCAGGTCATCCGAAAGGTATGTAATGATGCCATCGTGATACGATCAATGCTAACATCACGCAGTTCCTTGATACGCAACGGATACATAACTTGATTGAGTACCTCGAGGAGCTCCACGACCACCACAAAGCCACATCAGATCATACAACGCTCCTGTTAAACTGCTATGCCAAGTTGAAGGATGTGGAGAAGCTTGAAGAGTTTATCAAGTCACCGGACGATCTAAAGTTCGACCTCGATACGGCCATTTTGATGTGTCGACAGGGCGGTTACTATGACCAAGCGGCCTTCCTTGCTCGGAAACACGGTGAGCATGAGTTGGTCGTTGATGTACTGATCGAAGATTCGAAACGATACGCCGAAGCTCTGGCCTACATATGGCGATTGGAGCCCGAGGTGGCCTACTTCAACCTCATGAAGTACGCGACAGTACTGCTGCAGCACCTTCCCAAGGATACGACGCAGTTGTTTATCGACTATTACACTGGAACATTCCGACCCAAGCAGGATGCTATAGTCATTCCCAATACGCCTGCAACAGGAGGAGGCGGTGGTATGAGTATGGGTCTCGGAGTAGCTTCTAGCGCTGTACAAAACCTTGCTGCACTACTTCCACTGCCATACATGAACACCAACGCGTTGGCATCGCCTCCGAGTGGTGAACAGAAGAGTACCATGAGCCAAGCTCAGATCGTCGAGACGACCTCAGATGAGCCCGCTCCAGAGTACGAAGTACCGAAACCGCGAACTGCGTTCTCCGCATTCGTTGATCACCCCCAAGAGCTCATAGTCTTCCTCGAGGCCTGCATCGCATCCGATGATCTACGCGAAGATGACAAGGTCGATCTTTACACCACCCTGTTCGAGATGTACCTCCACACTGCATCATCGAAGAAGGATGGCGAGCGACAAGAGTGGGAGAACAAGGCCAAGAAGCTTGTCGAAGGCAAGGACATACCTATAGACACGTCCAACGTACTCCTACTCTCCCACCTGTCCAACTTCCGCGACGGCGCGATCCTTGTCCGCGAACAGCAAGGCCTTCACTTCGACATCTTCCGCTCCTACACGGCAGCCAACGATACGCAAGGCGCCATCCGCGCACTTCGAAAGTACGGTCCCCTGGAACCAGCGCTTTACCCCGCGGCGCTCGCCTACTTTACCTCCACGCCCTCTATTCTTGCCGAAGCCGGCGACGAGCTCGACTCGGTCTTGAAGAAGATCGACGAAGACGGCCTCATGGCGCCCCTCCAAGTAATCCAAACCCTCTCCACCAACGGCGTCGCAACAATGGGCATGATAAAAGCCTACCTCAGCACCACCATCGAGCGCGAGCGCGCCGAAATTGCGGCTAACCGGCGCAACATTGAGACCTTCCGCGCCGATACGTCGACCAAGAAGACCGAGCTGGAAAACCTAAACACCAAGCCCGCAGTGTTCCAAAACTCACGTTGCCAAGTCTGCATGAAGAGTCTTGAGTTGCCTGTTGTGCACTTCTTGTGCAAGCACAGTTATCATCAGAGTTGTCTGAGTACGGATGAGGATGTGCATGATGCGGAGGTGGAGTGCCCGATTTGTAGTTCGAGTAATGCGACGGTCAAGGCGATCAGGAGGGCTCAGGTGGAGAGCGCGGAGAGGCATGATCTTTTCCAGGATGTGCTTAAGAGGGGAAGGGATGGGTTTGCGGTTATTAGTGAGTGGTTTGGGAGGGGCGTTATGGGTGTTGGTGGTGCGGACTAGAGACCTGGGTGTGTACGGAATTAGCAGCAACACGGCACAGACGGAGAAACTATTTGATGTTTGGGAATTGGTATACATGTGAGCTAGACTGAGTTCTACTCTGTAATCGATCTAACGTAGATATTAAACGCCTTCCGCGGATGCGGCTCGATGCCTGTGCCACGTTGGCGACCGGCCCGCGCCCGTGTTCATGGACCCACTACTAGGCCTGTCTTTCCGCATCACACCATCTCACCACACGCTCTCGGTCCTTTTCAACACTGTTTGGCGATATCAAATGGAAGTCATACACGACTTCTCTTCATCTCTAAACAGACCAATTCTTGCTGCTTCAAACCCAAGATCAATCAAGCACCGTGCCCTCGGCAATGCCAACCATGAACCCGGCAGATTGGCTAAATACCCGCCAGGATCCTTCGGCATCCACCTGCAAAAGAGTATTGTTGAGCGAGCAAGGGAAGTGATCTCCCGTCTCCTCTCGTCCAAACTTCCGGAGCTGCATCCATTCACATCCAAGCAGCAGCGCTATGAATCCTACGCGACTCCACTCTCGAATCTACATAGCGGCACAGCTGCATATGGCAGAGTTCCATGCAGGAGGATGCAGGAAAATGGATCAGCGCGAAGATGAAGATATTATAAACGAAGGGGATATATAAGGTAGGGTTCGTGTAGTGTTGCTTCGTCAGGACTCAAGCCTCACTTTCGTTGTTGAGTCACCGTTTTATTGCACACCTTGCGTCCAGGTATCTACAGGCGCAAAACATCTTCATCACTTCGAGATGAGATTGTTCGGTATACCAGCACTGGCGCTTGCCAGCAGCGTCAGCGCCGTCAAAGTTACCGAACACGACAAGCTCGCGGTTCTCGGATTGGAAAACCTTCAACGTTATGTTGCGGAGAACGGCTCTCCAGACCCAGGTACATGTACTCCGGAGACGGCGTCAGTACGAAAAGAGTGGTGAGTGGCTAGCATCCGAAGGACATTCTTGCAAGTCTAACATAATCTTAGGTCAACACTCACAAAGCCAGAGAGGCGGAACTACATTGACGCTATCAAGTGTCTGCACTCTAAGCCTGGTCTTACACCAGCTTCAGTTGCTCCCGGAGCAAGGAGCCGTTTCGACGACTTTGTCGTGACACACGTTAAGCAGACATACTCTATACACGCAACCGTACGTCTGAAACCAGCCATATTTCGTCACATCGAACGACTGTTCGACTAGCGAAAAACCACAACAGCATCTAAGGCGACATGACAAGCTAACTTCTCCAGGCCAACTTCCTATCCTGGCACCGCTACTACATCTGGGCCTACGAGCAACTACTCCGCAACGAATGCGGCTACAAAGGCTACCTCCCCTACTACAACTGGGCATGGTGGTACGAAGACCCCGCCTCGTCCCCCCTCTTCGACGGCAGCGACACCAGCATGTCCAACGGCGGAGACTACGTCCCCGGCCGAAACTACACTTGCGTCGGCGTTCCAACGGGGTCCCCAGACTGTCCCATCAAGCTCGAGCCCGGAAGCGGTGGAGGTTGCGTTTCCGGTCCCTTGGCGAATTGGACTGTGACTCTCGGGCCCATCGCCACGAAAGTAACGGGTATCAAACCGAATCCGCAGGCTGATGGGTTGGGATATAATCCCAGATGCATTAACAGAGATGTCAACAAGAATTCTGCGTATCTGTCGAGAGATGAAGTTATCACTGAGCTCCTCGAGAACAGCGATGATATTCTCACTTTCCAGAACCGCATGCAAGGTGATTTCCCGAATGGATACCTTGGGGTTCATAGCGCTGGTCATTACACCGTGGGAGGAGATGCTGGTTCTGACTTTTTCAACTCACCGGCTGACCCTGTAAGTCTGCCCTTACATTGCTGATTTATCCGGGGTATTCGCTGACTCCTCAATAGGCCTTCTACTTCCACCATGCACAGATCGATCGCACGTGGTGGATCTGGCAGAACCAGGATCTTGAGAAAAGGAGAAATGCGGTTGATGGTACTATCACGTTCAACAATGACCCGCCGAGTCGGAAGGGTACACTGAATGATACGTTGACGCTGGGTCCGATGCTTCAGGATGCGTTTGGGAATATTACGATTAAGGATGCGATGAGCACGCTTGGTGGGCCGTTCTGCTATATCTATGTGTAGATAGATGCAGCGAGGATGTATCGAGATTAATGAACGTAATGCAATACTCTACCACGAACCTTTGTGATGTAATAGTCTGGAGTTGCCATCCTGAGTGCCAGTGTAGGAGCGGGTGACTTCAGGATACAGACCGTCTCAAATATCCAAAAGCCTGACATGCGTAACATCATTCCGCTCAACACACTCCCCCGTATACGCAGAAGCCTCCCTCTCCTTCCCTTTCCCAAACAGTTCATATTCCGCAACAGTCCTCCAAGCAAAAAGCGTCACAAACACATCATCCTCTCCCTCCTTCTTCCCAACACACCACCCACCTCCAACCCCGTCTTCCAACTTCTCCTTCATCTCCCTGAATTGAACTTCGAAAGCTTCTCTTTTTCCAGCCTTGATAGTGTAATGAGTGATACTCCACACCTGCTCCCCCCTCCTCGCCCTCTCCAGTTCTTCGTCTCCTCTCGGCAGCGGCAGCTCCGCATTCGGCACATCGAGATGTTCGAGGTTGGAATCCACAGTGATGTAGTCCTTCAAGCTTTCCAATAGCGCTTGGTTCTCGGCGCTAGGTATGAAGTCGTTCAGGTGCTGGTCTAGCGAGTCCCATTCTCCCATTACGTAGATGCAGCTCGGATCGGAGATTTGCTGCATGTAGTAGAAAGTGCGGTTTGTGTAGTTCTGTAGGACGGTTTTCGCGTGGGAGAGGTTGGTGCGGAGGGTGGGTGATTCGGGCGTGGTGCCGGGGGTGAGGTGGAGGAGGGCGAGTTCGGTGATGGGCATTTTGGGTGGTGGTGGATGGGATGTTTGGAATGGAACTATTGCTGTGGTGAGTGGGTTAATGCGGTGTTAGTAGGTGATCAAAGCAATATTGCGCGTCTTTATAGCATTGGTAAGATGCGCGCTGCGAGTGCAAGGCAGACATGGCTGCGTAATCGCGTTCAGGCAGAAGGATGAGTACGCGGAGTTGGAGGAATCGCGTAGGAGCGCGTTGCATGACGCAAGGGCAGGATGCCTGAGCTGGCTTAGTCAGCCACCAACGCGACTTTGGCGTCCTCGACTCGCGTCCTTCACCACCACGACACACGCGTATGAAGCAGCTTATTCCTTCTGAGTGATACTCGATGATATCCTGAAGGCACACGTCCCTGCTTGTTCTAAATGAGTCGAAACTCATCGCGTATACTCCCTGGGCACATTCTTAGTCGAGGGTGCCAGTCAGCGTCTCCTAGGTTTGCATCTACCCACCAGCTTTATAGGGCAGGTGTACGCGGAAGAGATACTGATCCCATGATGGCATCTTCTGCATTGGCTAGGACGCGCTTTCGGCGCGTTGCGCGGTCTCCAATGAACTCAAAGGTGGGAGCTGTACTGATAAGCAGCCCGTTATCTTCGGAACGGTTCCGAACGCACCCCTCGCGATCATGCATGAAAGCATTGGATGCCGGTAGTGCCCTCGCACAACTGGACGGTGGCATCTATAAGTAAACGTTTCGTTGTTTTGCTAACAGCATTCTTCCCTTGCTCTTAACTTCGAAGAGTCGTGTCACCAAGTTCTAATATGGAGCATCTGCCGGATATCGTACCCCATGCAAGGTATATGCCTTCTGGTCATCTAGTAGTGGTTTCAATTGTTGCAGCTGTCGTATTTGTAGCGTATAAGGTATCTGTTTCATTGGAAGCCAGCTATGACCAGCGTTGTTGACAACTACTCAGGTACTGAGTCGCACCGACATCCCTCACATCCGCGGTATACCAGAGATACCAGGTGCTCTCCCAATCACAGGTCACCTCACCCAGCTCGGCGACGACCATGCTACAGTATGCGAGAAGTGGTGGCGGCAGTATGGCAACTCGGTCTTCCAGATTCGACTTGGCAACACGCGCGCTGTAATCGTCAACTCCTTTGAAGACTGCAAGAAGATCCTGGTCTCGAACTCGCAAGGCCTGATTGATCGGCCGAAACTGTACACCTTCCATGGCTTGATCTCATCGACACAAGGATTCACTATCGGAAGCTCACCATGGGACGAGAGCTGTCGTAACAAGCGCAAGGCCGCATCGACTACCTTGAGTAAAGGCATGATGAAGAATTACTACGACATGTTCGATCTGGAATCCTACTGCATAGCTCGGGATCTCTGCCGCGACAGTAAGAGTGGGGAGGTCGAAGTCAGCATCCGGCCGTACATCCAGCGCTATGCCCTCAACACAACCCTCACATTGTGCTATGGTATCCGCATGGACGCAGTCTACGATGATCTCCTCCGTGAGATCCTTGAAGTTGGCTCAGCTATCTCGCTTCTACGCTCCGCCTCAGAGAACTACCAAGATTACGTGCCCATTCTGCGATACCTACCTAACAACGAAAAGAACCGGCGCTCAAAAGAACTGCGCGAGCGACGAGACAAGTATCTCAATGAGCTTCTAGACAAGGTCCGCGAGATGATCAAGAACGGTACTGAGAAACCATGTATCAGCGCTGCTATTCTCAAAGACGAAGAAACCCGCCTTACAGGTGTCGAAGTGAGTTCGATCTGCCTGTCTCTCGTGTCCGGCGGTTTCGAAACAATACCGGGTACGCTAGTCTCCTGCATTGGTTCTTTGTCTACACCCGAAGGCCAGATCTACCAAGAACGCGCGTATGCGGAGATACGCAAAACGTATCCGGACGACGCAGCGTTGAAGGAAGCCTGGGCAACAGACTTTGAGAAAGAGACTGTGCCCTATCTGAACGCGATTGTGAAGGAGGCGGGAAGGTACTATACAGTCAGTAACATGAGTCTACCGCGTAAGACGATGAGCGAGGTCAGGTGGGGCGATGCGGTCATACCGAAAGGGACGATGGTGTTGATCAACGCTCAAGCTGGAAATCACGGTAGGGCTTCCTTCTACTGCACTAAACCCATGATCCTTTCACAGAAGACTGACAGCCCGCAGACACAGACTACTTCGGTCCCACCGCCGCAACCTTCAACCCCGAACGCTGGCTCACACCCCCCACCTCCCCATCTTCCCTCCACACACCGACTCCCCACGCGAACCCCCCTCACCTCTCCTTTGGCGCCGGCTCTCGATCCTGTCCCGGCGCTCTGATAGCAAGCAAACTCATCTACGCCGCGCTGTTTCGTTTGCTCAGTCTGTATAAGATTGAGGCCAGTGTGACGAATCCGCCAAATACTGATTACGTGGACTACAATGCTATCAAGAGTGCGCTGGTGGCTATACCGAGGGACTTTGGCGTTAGGCTTGTTCCGAGGGACGGGGACATGGTCAAAGCGGTGTTGGAGGAGGGGAGGGTGAGGACGGCGGAGTTGTATAAGGAGTGAGGCGTGGCGGAGACATTAGGTTCGTGGGTGTAGTTCCGGAGGATTTTGTTGTGATGTAGTCGTCTTGGAGCATGGTGAGCTTGGTGGTCCAGGTACTTTGTCTTCGAGCATGAGGTGCATAAGGCTTTGGTTCACACAGTCTCGTACTACCTAGGTACCTCTGGTATTGACACTTGCCCTTCGAGAGGGCCTGATTGTATGGGGTAATCGAAGGTCAAGAGTCGATCATCAGCCTCGCGCTAGCGACACTTTTTCGCGCCTGCCTGTGATTCACTCACTTCAACGCTGGGTGCGGTTAGCGTACACCGGCGACAAACGCTCTTTCCTTGTCTATCTCGCACCACCGGTGTTCGGCAACGTCACACAACCCACCTCAAAACTTTCAGTTATGAGGCCCCCAAGTACTCTAGGCGTCGCTATCGCGCTCGTCGCCTTGGTCATCGGTAGACATATCGACAGTCCCGTGATTACCAGAACTTTCGGTATCGATTCCTCGGACGCTCCTCCCCAGTTCAGCCCTCCAGAGTTCAATGCTCCGGATTTTGCTCCTCCTGCTCTCGCTCCCCGTGCCGATGGCGGCGACTTCAATCCAGGCAACTGGGCCGATGACACTAAATGGCAAAAGTACCTGGACAAGGGACATCACTTGACGTGTCTCATGGACGCCACCGACAGAGGCGCCGGGTGGCTCTCGAAAGATACAAGACAACCGCCTTCCGCAGCGAGCAAATGGACCGGCGAGCTCAGAGCTGAGATTCCATTGTGGTACTGGCACGAAGGGGATGTTGACACGGGCTGGGATGGCGATTTCGAAGCCAAGGGGCTCAAAACGGCGTTTGAAGGCCACGGTCTCAATTCGCAACCGAAGTTTGACGACGAAGGCGAGCGGCTGGGTGGGGACAATGAATGCTTCAAGATTACACACTATGACGAAGAACGGGAACCGGACCCACGCCCTCAATTTGGGGGTATGATGGCTTGCAAAGACCAGGATTATTACGTTGCGGGCAAAAAATACTTGGTATGTCATACTCGATCCAACAGCACCTGTAGCTGTCACAGACTTCGATGGAACAAGCATTGTTTGATTTTGAAAGCACGTAGCTGACACAGTCCAGTCAACTTGCGGTTACTACGAGTTCACTGTCAACATCGGCGCAAACGGTGGAGGCATCATGGCAACGAACATCGAGAGTCCAGGCCATGCTGTTCTTGGTAACATGGGATGGGGTCGGCCAGCAAACCCCGGAGAGCTGCCCGAACTTCGTACCGCGTCCGACATCTTCTGGGGCTATTGGGTTCGCGACAACCCCAATATCAAGAACTTCCGCATGTACGCCGCTCACCATGTCATCAACCCTGATACCTGTCTCCTAGTCGCTCGGGCCATGAAGAACAAAGGCATTAAAAAATTATCGCCCTGGCCGGGTGCTGTATTCCCAATTGGGACTGAGGAATACACTGCGCTCATTGGTAAGTAACCTCACCCACGTACTCCCCTTTGCAGATTACGTTGCTCTTTGTAACGTTGGTCCAACGTCCGGAAACCCATTGACGACCTCCTGGCCTAATTATCAGGTCGCTGCTGTGACCTGAAATCATACTGACTACCTCCAGCCTCACCCATCGGCGCGACAGCAGCATACTTCCTGGCGACCCACAAAGCCGAACTCGGGATCAAACGTATCTCTAAGGTGACCGTTGTAACCAATGTGAAGTCTCCCAGCAGAAACCGGAGGCTCGCGTTCGATATGCACATCTTCTTCGCCATTGAAGATGTACCGCAGGACCAGGTGACAAAGCCTGGTGGAGACGACGCTGCCGTCAAGAGGGAGACTGGACGGATCGACTCCAAGCTCATTAGCGTTAGGGACAACGGGACAAATCTGGTTCGCTTGCATAGCATGATGGCCTAGAGCTCGGTGCGGCATGTGGAAGGACGGGCGTGGCTGGAGGGGGAGGGAGGGCTTTGCGTGAGTAGACATGTACGTAGAACATGGTGCGGATACCCCCAGAATCTAATAGCACTTGCTCCAATCTCTTGCGGTATGACACCAGCATCCTGGAAAGGCTCCAATCTGTATCGTATTCTGCAAAATTATAAGTAGGGCGGATGGATACATCGTCTTTGGAAGCATACACTTATCAACATTTAGTGACGTGTATTCCGCAACGCAAATTCCGCCGCTAGGCAGCTCCCTCAAGTTCACGCACCCTCGCTAGTATATCCTCCTTCCATCTCGTATAATCCTCCTGCTGGCGCTCCCCCAAATAGTCAGTCGCGTCCTGCATCATCGTCCCCAGCCCGATATAATCACTCCCACCAGATCTTAGGCCCATACTCTTCGCTTTGGCCGCCGCCGCCGCATCATCGCCCATCTCTACACCTTCCATCCCCTCCCCATCGCCCTGCGGCTTCACACTATCGAACCACTGCATCTGCAACCATCCCTCTTCCTTCGCCATCTTCATCGTTTCTTCTATCTTGGCTTGTAGCTCACCATCCTCCACATCCTTTGTAGCAGAGAGGACCAGAACAGCCTTCACTGCTTTTGCGAGCCATTCGTTGTATTGTTGTATGGAGACGTCGATGTCTTTCATGCGCGAATAGACGAGGAGAAAAACTACGACTATCAAGCTGAGTACGCGGGTATCGCTGACTTCTCCCGATGACGAAGTAGTGGTTGTAGTTCGTTTCGGTCGCTTGCTGGGTGTTTCGGCGGCGGCGGCAGACATGCGGGATAGGAGGGGGTAGATCGATTCCACGCCTGTGTATACGTGTGGTATCAGACTTGTGTATTCGAACGTTTTGGCCAGGGAGCGTATCGTAGGCATGACCCATTCTGGTGCTTCGCCATTGTTGTCGTCAAGCCTCCTTGCGGTTCTCGGTGTTTTCCTCGCGCTCAACGGCGTTTTTGGTGTGTTGCGTGCTGAGGCGGGGGCTGAGGCTTTTGGTTTGCTCGGTGTTGTTGGTTCGCGAGGGGTTGTACTGTCGGGGAGTGCGCTGCTGAGGTAGTTGTATAGTTTTTTGTATATCCGTGGGGGACAGGGCGGTCGTGATGCGATGGTAGGGAGGTTGAGACGTTTCTTTAGCCTTTGGAGGTCAGTATCAGAGCGCAGATAAAGTTTAAAGTCCTTACCTTTCACATGCTAATTGCGCACATGCGTATGGTCGCGCGATCTCCTCATCCGGCTTCATAGATGTCGCGACGCTTCGCGAACGCGTCAGGAGAGAAAGCGCCAATTCTATCAATTCGGGCGGCAGAGGACCGCTCAATGTGGGTATCAAGCCCGTAAGAGCTTGTTCTATGCTTGCGCGGCTCATTCTGGGAGGCTGTCAAAGTTGATTTCGGATGTGGTCTGGGTATGTTGGTCCATTGCCAATATGCAGGCGCGTCAAGATCTCGCGCTGTCACGTGGACGCTAAGGCCGCCCCTCTTTATCGTCTTCCAACATTGATGCGCCTTCCTTCCACGTCTCCTGACCACCTCTACTATGCCGTCAAATTCGCGCGTCACGTCACATCGATCTCCTCGGCATCAAGTCTTCGTCCGAAGCCTGATACAAACAATCTCACCATTCGTGGCCTGTACCGCCGTACAGGTATGCACTATCTTGCATTCTTGATATCGATCGGCGTGAGTTACCACAAAGATGTTAAAATACAGGACTATTTCGGGATGTTACCTGCCAGCTACGAACTCATGGTTCATGCGCGATGGCACATGTCCACTCTTCTTGATGCCATATCCTGGATATTTAGAACACGGCATACACTGTAACATACCGCTTTTCGTTTCCAGCTGTATCCGTACTGATGCTGCTAAACTTGTTCGTAATACATCCGTATAGAGGATTGGTACGACTGCATCAAGCGCTACTTCTCGTCGTTTTCTTTCGTCATACCGTTGCAGTAACACCTCTAGCTATACTCACCGCTGCCGGCATCCAATCGGTGATCGCGCTTTCGCAGAGATGAAGTAGCAAACCGCGCCAAGCACACCAAAGCTATGTTATCGACACAGATATTGCGCCATACTACTGCTACTACTGTCTCGAATACATTTCAGCGTCGCACCGTAGAGGCGCGGTTCGGCGGTCAGGCTGCTCCTACTTCCGAACACGTCAACTCGGCTTGACCGACATATTGCGCATATGGCTCCTGATCGTGTTTACTGTGCTTGATAGGGCACCGTCGTGGGTGCATTCGTCAAGAAGGCGAAGGTGACATGGAATCGGTATATGTGTGCGACGCTCAACGTCCATGATAGGCAAGGGAGGGAGTACCAAAGCCATGCTGATGACGGGATCTTGCATTTTGACAGCTCGGTAACCACTGGCGAAGATGGTGAGATGAGCTCATCGCGATTCACATGTGGTATTTAGACCTGCTTTACATCCTCTCACCACAAGCATCAGTAAACGCAAGCACATCCGACGCAAACTTCAAAGATATCTTCAAGGCCTTTTAAATTTATCTTTCAACCCTTTGTTACTCTACACACCAAACCGCCTTCAAAACAACGACAAATCTATATACTGTCTTCACCGAAGCGAAACTCCCCAAAAGCCAAGATGTATCTAGCCACCATCCTCACAAGCTTGCTTTCCAGCTTGCCCATCACACTATCAGCTCCTTTAGCGACCACTCCAGAACTCTACGGCGAGCCATACAACTGCGGTTACGTTCTCACCATTCGAAACAGCAGCGCTTATGCTGGTATCTCCGCATATCCCCCAGCCCAAGCCGAGTGTACGGCGATCTACTACAACGATACGATCCCAGGATACCAAGACGCGTACGCCTACAGCTTGTTTGGAGGCTGTGAATGTTCGTTCCACCTGTAAGTACAATACACTTTGAGAGATACGTAGCCTTTGACGACGCGCCTGCGTGAGACAATACCACTGCCTGGAAGCTACATGCTGTTCGAGCCCGTGTTTGAGTGAAATCATGATAGTGGCTGACAACTACTGCGTAGGAGCGAGGACGACTGCAAAGGAGCTACCGATCCACCGATGTATGAGGGACCGACTGGAGAGCCTGGCGAAGAACCTTGCTTCGAGGACCCCAATCCCAAGTGGTACAAGTGCGCGACCTTGGGTTAATAGCATCATGGCGGACTCGGATGCGGCCGGAACTATTGGCGGTTGTCACAACTGTGAATGTTGTATCAGCATGGCAGTGCTGGCATTAGTGGTGGCTTCTTAGCGATAATGTATGTTTACGGCGTTGGTAGGCCAAATCATGTTTCACTCAGCAAAACATAACATCTCTTTCGTCATTGTCTCTGGCTAGACGCATGCGCGTGACTGATACATCAGCCTGGATCGCTTACAATCGACTCGTAATGCGGCAGCCTGGCACCTTCATCGTGTTGTCATCCGCACGCGCAACAAGAGAACAGACTGCGAAACCATTCACGCTCCATTCAGGCGCCGGCGAACATCCATCGTCGCGGCACGGTTTTCTCAAAGACCCCGATACGAGTGGGGTCTGAAGTGGTTGGAGCTGACGTTCGAAGAGGTGAGTCGGCCCCCAGATACGCCACACAGGTGCGTCGATTGATGAGCTGGCAATATATACGCACATACGCGAGCGTTGATCAATTCTTCGCAAGAGCGAATTCGTAGTTCCCCGCACATTTTGGACCCACGGCGAGGGAGGCGCGGCCCGGGCCTTCACCGGGTACGTTCGCGCATTCCTCAAGTGATTCACGCACCGGCTTGGCGCATTCCTGGAAGTCGATATAAGAAGTCGCGGATCGACTTTTGCTCCTTCTCACAGAACTCAACACCTTCTGACAACTCACTCCTGACAGCCCCGACAACATGTATCACTTCTACTCCTTGCTTAGCCTACTCGGCTTCCTTTCACTCGCTCTTGCCGCCCCTCGATCCTCCCCAGCGAGCCCTAGCGTCTTCGCCGCACGTGACGAATGTCACACACAAGGAGATATCTGCGCCGAGACCTGGATCGGAAACAAAGTACACCAGCGTCTTGAATGGGGTGGCTGTATTCCCGTCAAAGACTACAAGGAGATTACCGGATTCAAGGCCTTCAACTGCGACTGTTACTTGTACTAGTAAGTTATTCAGCGATGAGAGCAACAGATGGATATTTACTGATTCGTCTTTAGCGCTGTCGACTCGGGTACATGCAACAACGGCGGAGACGAACACATCGACCAGTTCTCGCGCTGCAGCGGACTTCTGACCAAGGAAGAGCGGCGTTGGAAGAAAGCGCCCAACTACTACAGCTGCTCGCCTGGACCCCTCACTCAAGGCTGAAGGGCTGAATGCTAGCGTGCGCATGCTATATATGTTGGGGTATGTAGCGTTGGGAACTTTCCAAGCTTGCCAAATACATACAGTCCATGCAGCGAAGTAACTACTTCGAGGACGCGTTGTAGCTTCCAGAGCGCGCTAAGATGCTTTCTTTGTTTTTTTGTTGTTTGCTTTATCTCGCGTTCCACGGTAACGGGCTCGTGTTGGGAAGGCGCTATCACGGTCGAGAACTTTGTGCAACGCTGTGGCTGTAGTACAACGGCAATCGTCTTCCTGACGCATCTGGTTATAAACCTCTTTGCAGTCACCGTACTTCTTCTGCAGTGAAGAACCAAGAACCACACGTCTACCATGCAGTTCCCCACGATGTTGTCCACCCTATTCATCTTCGCTTCCGTGCTCACCTCTTCCATCGCTATTGCTGCTGAGGCCCTCCCGTAAGTCCCAAACCTCAGCTCAGCTCAACCTAAGACTCACTCACTAACCCCCCCTCAGCCCCGTCGCCCACGTTACCGACTGCAACGGTAAAACCTACATGCTCGACACCACCGGCCAAAACAACATCCGCGTCATCACTCAGGACAGAGCAGACGGCTACTACATCCAACCTGTCAGCTACCACGTAGACCCAGGCACCACGTGCAATTTCTACAGCGAATCAACTCGCGGCGTTGGGTATCCCATCGGCAAATACTATGGCCCCGTAGACGGAGACTTTGTGGGTGACTGGGCTGCGTTTTACGAGTGCTGGGATGTGGAGTCGGAGATTGAGTATCCTCCTAAGCGGAGAGGGCAGAGCTTTAGAGCTTGAGCGGATTAAATGCGATGATTAACAATATGTGGATGTTCCGATGGTACGTTTGGTCTAGGAACGGGCTTGATGTTGTTGCTTGCTGACCACACCTGCTGTAGTGGACGTGGTCTGAGCGGATCAACCCCGGACTTTGTGGTGGATCATTGCGTGGGATTTGGAGTGGATGTTTGATTTCGAGATTGGGTCTATGAGCGTTCTTCCGGCTAGAATATCTCTAGTACTGCATGAGGTTTATGAAGGTGGAGAGGATTGTGGATTGGGCCGGGAAAGGGAAGACGTGAAGTTTACGTTCTTGTACATAGCTTAGCCATACTTTGGGAGTGCTTAATGTACACTCCAACAACGAATTACGGTACGATGAGGTTGATGTCTACGAGTGAAATCGGGAGTCCGAGGTATTCGTATGGGCGTGATCTTATCGATAAGCTGCGCGACCCACTTTTCTTTTCGTCGCTCGGTCGCGAACTTTCCGACTTCTGCATGCGCTTCACCCCAATCCACACCACACACCGCCAACATGATCCGCAAACAAGCCCGAGAACGTCGCGACTACCTCTACCGCCGCGCGCTTACCCTTCGCGACGCCGAACTCGCTTCGAAAAGAGCAGCGCTGAAAGCTTCGCTCGCGAGCGGCAAGCCACTTTCCAAGGATGTCGCCAACGACCAGAATTTAAGACAAGACTTCAAATACGATGAGAGCAGGGCGGATAGAACGGCAGAGGAAGAGCTAGGACTCGACG